CATATGTATCTGCCGCCAGTTGATTTTTGACAAGTGCTGTGGTTTGACTGTGTCTTTCAAAAGTTCATGTGCTGGAAACTTGGTCCTCAATGCAGCAGTATGGAGAGGCAGGACCTTTGGGAGGTGATTAGATCAGGAGGGTTCTGATGAGTGGATTAATCCATTCATGGATTAATGAATTAAGGGATTATTGAGGGAGTGGGTTAATTATCACAAGAGTGAGTCTGTTATAAAAGCCATTTTGGCCATCTCTTGTAAGGCCCCTCGCCATACGATACCCAGCACTGTCTCAGGACTCTGAATCCTGACCAGCAAGAAGGTCCTCACCAGATGTTGGTGACATGCTTTTGGACTTCTCAGCCTCCAGAAATGTAAGAAATAAATTTCCTTATAAATCACCCAGTCTATGGTATGGTTATAGCAACAGAAAAAATACTAAGATATCAAAAGTGCCAAAACCATTCAATGGGGGAAAAATAGTCTCTTCAACCAAATGGTGCTGGAAAAACTGGATATCACATGCAGAAGAATGAAATTGGACCCTTACCTTATACTATATACATAAATTAACTCAAAATGTACTGACAACCTAAATATAAGACCTGAAACCATAAAACTCTTAGAGAAAAACAGGGGTAAATCTTAATGGCCTTGTATTTGCAATTGATTCTTAGATATGACACCAAAAGCATTAACAAGAAAAGAACAAATAGATAAATTATACCTTCAAATTTTAAAATTTTGTGCATCAAAGGATATTATCAAGAAAGTAAAAAGATACAGCCTGAGCAACATAACAAGACCCTGTCTCTACAAAAAATAAAAAAAAATTAGCCAGGCATGGTCGTGTGCTCCTGTAGCCCCGGCTACTTAGCTGAGGCAGAAGGATCACTAGAGCCCAGGATTTTTGAGGTGGCAGTGAGCTGTGATGACACCCCTACACTCTAGCCTGGGCAACAAAGTGAGACCCTGTTTCCAAAAAAAAGAGAAAAGGTTGAAAAGAAAATGAAACAAAGAAAGGAAAAGACAACCTGTAGAATGGTAGGAAATATTTATAAATTATATCTGATAAGGACCTAGTATACAGATTATATAAAGAATCCTTACAACTCAACAAGAGAAATACATATGACGCAATTAAAAATTGAATAAAGGGCTTGAATAGACGTTTATCCAAAGAAGATATACAGATAGCCAACAATCACCAACACTCAAATGGCTCAGAAAAAAATCATATGTGTTTGTGGAGAGAGAGCACACTCATGCAAGTGTTCTAGTGCATGAATACAAACTAAAACAAATGGAACAAAATTTGGAGAATAGGTGAATCATGGTAAAGGCTACATGAGTGCTCTGTGTACTCTTGTTATTTTTGTTACTTTTCTGTAAGTTTTGAATTATTTCCAGAGAAATATTTTAAAAAATTCGTTTACTCGTGATCCAGCTTAATAATTATAGCATCGTAAATATAGTTGGAACACCCTGCCTATGCATTCTCTTCCCAGAGATAAACACTATCCTGAATTTTGTGTTCATTAGTCCCAGACATAACTTTATACTTTACATATTTATATATATCTAAGCAGTATGTAATAGCATTTTGCATACTTTTAAATGTTATATAATGCTATCATACTATATAATCATTACGCACCTGACTGCACTCACTCAGTATTATATTTGGGATGATTATTCATGGCAGTATATGTAATGCTAGCTCATTCGTTTTCATTGCTGTACAAGTATACCAAAAGTCTTAGTG